GTGTGTGTGTGTGTGTGTGTGTGTGTGTGTGTGTGTGTGTGTGTGTGTGTGTGTGTGTGTATCATTTATTTGTAATAGAGTACTCCCAAAAACTTTGATCATACAGGAGAAAAGAACGCTGGCATCACAATTAGCTAGCTGTTAGACTGGGGTGTTAAATGTAATTTTAAATAGATGATGAAATACAAATGCATTTTCAACATCTTATGTAACAATAATGATGACATTTGCAAATTGAATTATTTCCCATAATAAATCAGCAACTCATTTCCAAACATTTTGCTTAGTTTAAATCAAAACAGGGTGAAAGGAACACCTTAGTTTGCATCTGACTAGGTGAGAGAATCCTTGGTGCCTCCCAGAAGACCAGGAGGAGGTGGAAGGGGGAAAGCGGTGGCATGGGCACCTCTGCTTTGGCTGCAGCCACCATGAAAAACAGCTGGATGTGTTAGTTAAGATAAATTTGTATGTATGTTGGAATTAAACTTTGAGGCAACAAACAAAAAAAAAAAAAAATGCAGCCATTACCTATGTTATAGTGTTATTCCTTGGCAAATATGAGCTGACCACATTTACTTTCAGCCCAAGTAAGAGCCACAAATGTGGAGTCAGAGATCTGCCAATTAAATCAGAGCCCACTGCTCTCTATGTGCACCTGCTTTGTATTTAGTGGCATTTGAATGCATTTTGTTTTCTCTGTCTGACTCATTCCAAAGATGGAAGAGGTGAAGTCCCACTGAGATATGCATTTTACATAGATTTGAATGTTTGTGTGTGTGAGCGCTTACGCTTATGCTAACAGCAAATATAGTTAAGAGGATGCAGAGAGTAAAGAGAGCTGCAGCATGTTAGTAAATGACACATTAAAGAAAATCATTCATTAAGGCTGCTTGTTGGCAGGTTAAAAACCCCAATAATGCAACAGTCCTGGACTAAATCATCTGATCTTATTAAGGCTCCGTTGTATGTTGCTGGATATTATTAGATTAACACCAAATATTCAGCCTACTTTTACAAGCAAAGACAAAAAGCTTGAAGCATCAAGTGCAGCTCAGCGCGTCAAACAAAAATGGACCCCTACAGTCAACAGAAAAGGTAAGAAGCACACTCAGCTGTGTAAACAGTCTTATCAGAAAGTAAAGAACGACCGCCGGTGTGATATTGGCATAAAACAGTTTACAGCAATTAAATCACGAGGATGTGTGCTTTCAAACAATGTTTGTCAAATATAATCCATAAATGTGCCATGCTGTTTAAAAATGTTGGGATTGTCCCTTGAAATTCTTTTTTTAGAGAGATTTTTGTGTCAAAGCCAAGCTTACAATTCAGCATTTTATAGCATAAAGTATATGTTACACCTGCAGTAAAACATCACACTGAAGAACAGGCATCAATCTAAGCGCTTTAACTGTTATAAGCAGGTATCAAAGTTGGTTTGCTCCACCCTGCCACAGGACTAAAGCTAACACTGATGGCTGTGACATTGTGCAGTGTGACGGGCTGGAAAAAGAGTTAAAGCAACACGGACAAATTTATGCGGTAAAAGATAAATCACTAAAGAAAATATTCACATTCATGTACAAATACAGTTCAAAATTTTAATTTTACAAAAAAGAAAGAAAGAAAGCACTCCGTGGCTCTCACATCTGATCAAACAGACGTTTCACACAAGGAACAAAATCCAAGAAAAAGTGCTAATTACTACTATATGTGGTGCAAATGTAGCCATGCAGTATGTCATCACCAAGGGAAAAACAAAACAAAATAAAAAACAGACCAGCAGTAATTCTTCATTAGACTCTTCCAAACCTCCATCTGTCCACATACTCCATACATCCTCCTAGTCACTCAGGACACCAAACCTGTCTCACAGGTACATCATAGACCATTGAAGGTTCTTATCTACATCCTATATTATTACTTCCTCGAGTATCCTAGCAACCAAATGGATTAAAAATGACCCACCTTACTAAAACATCACATTAACACATTAATTGTTTTGAAGCAAAATCCAAACTCACCACCTTTGAACTTGTCTCCTTCAAACTCATTTCTGCCCAGTGACAAAGAAACAGCACAGTGTTTTTGCACTTCACAGGATGGACCATGAACGCTATGAAAAAAAACAAATCCTATTCTTATTTAAACAAAACCTTTGTTTGTAAAAACCGACAGCCCCATTTTCAGTTCAGCATGCTAGTATTACCTCAAAGAAGAGTGAGAGGGCATGTAAAAACCTAAAAACATTAAATAATTAAATTACAATTTTTAGAAGATTCACTTCGTACTAATGAGCCCCTTTCTTCAATCACTAAAGAACCACACTGACATCTTGATGCACGCTCAATCATCCAGGTAAATAAATCTCCAAAAGTTGATCCTGTTCATCTGGATGTAGTGTTTTCAATGGGAAAACTGAAAACACTACATCCAGATGGACAGAATCAACTTTTGAAGAACCACACTGACAGTTTTATACTGCGTCAATCGGCCCCTTAAATAATGGATTGTTAGATACAATAAACCACCACAGGCATTACCTCCAGTAATAAATGACCAGTGGTAGTTTAGAGATGTCCCATTCCCTAATGTAAAGGGACTGTGCTAAATATCTCCTGTTTTCATCATTGAGGCAAAACCTTCACCATCAGCTGAAGCCCTCTCTGTGGCAGCAGTGCCATCTCCTGCTGAGCTAAGCACAGAGCATATTAGCAGCCTGTCATGCTGCTGCTGCTGAGAGGATTACACTTCATATGTGTGCATGACCATCGTGATCTCCTACACACGGGCGCCAGCTTTTTACAGACCGTGTAACAGATTACACCTGCATAGGGCAAATCCCACTGTTAGGCTGCGCACTTGTTACCCCACCTCTCTCTCTCTCTCTCTCTCTCTCTGATGGAGGAAAAAAACCGAACAAAACCAAAAGCAAAAATAAAAAAAACCTCAGCTGGACTTGTGTTTTATTATTTGTGTGCACACCTGTTCTCAGCGATGACACAAGAAAGAGACACCCTTTCATATGCAAATATATAATATAACATTAAATAAAATAAAATGTCTTACTGCCAAAACAATCAGTGCACAGATAAATGTGAACTTTTTCATTGTGTATCTAACGCTACAGCGCAAATGCGCACAACATCTGCGAGGAAACCAGAAGCCAGAAAATGGGTTAAAAAATCTGTTTGAGCGCAGTGTTTTTACATTGAACAATTCCTCGCCTGCAGCACCCAGAAGTGAACAGCAGGCGACCCGGAAGATTTGAAGTCCGACTGAGAGCGAGCAGAAAGAAGACTCTAATCCTTTTTTAAAAATTGTTTCCTTGCTCGCTGGTTCAGGTACGTTGGCCACTCGATGCAATTTCTCTGCCTCTTTTTGCTTTTTTTACCCTCCTTACCCCCTCTCTCTCTCGCTCACACACACGCAGCTGCTCCGTGTCGCTTCGTCACCGTTTTTATTTAAGTCATGCAAAAGTTGGAATTACAAAAAAGCGCATTTGCAGCGCATTAATGGCGAATAATCACTTCGTTTGTCGGCCGCAGTGCCACTTAAAGCTTCCACGGCGCGTCAGGATTATCATCGACGTTTGGATTTATGGCTCAGCAGCTGCAGAGCATTCAGCAAAGGCATGATGATTGTTGTAGGAAGTGTCAGGGCTTTTTTTTTTTCCTCCTCCCCGAGCCGGGCTATTCAAACCTGCAAATCAAAGTAAACAATCATTCGTACGCTTAATGCAAACATGCCGCTAGCAGATGCGTCGCAGCAGCGTTTAATCACATCCGGAGAATTATCTGCTTATAATATTCGGATCTGCAGAATATGGCGTCCAGTGCTTATAAAAATAAGACTGGGCTGCCATTTTTGTTTTCCTTTTGTCTGAAATTTTTTAATAAACTGTCTGAGAATGTGGGAGAGGCGGCGGACAGGCCGGGGAGAGCGGAGGATCGTGTCTCTCCGGAGGGAACGGCTCGTGTTTAAAGCTGCTCGGGTTAAGATTTGCACAGCGGATCCCTTTTTTGTTTTTAACGGAGAGTTAAAAAAGCAGAGCGGGTACAGAAATGGGGAAAGTTAACGCCAACTTTTGTTTCAGGGAAAGTTGGATTTCAATTTTTAGAGGCAATCTCGAAATCTGATCTATTTCTAAAGCTGAAATATTGAGGTTTAAAGAGGATGTTCTGGATTTAAAATGTGCTGCCAGCAGACCGAGACTGACTAACCAACTGTGTGATCGTTAGACTCTAAAAATGTGCAGATATATTAGTCTACTTATTCAATAACAGTTCGTGCAAAATTAACAGCATGAAGCATGTTTACCGTGATTGTTTTTGAAGCCTTATTAAAGCTTTAAAAGTCGAAGGAAAATGTTATTTAACCCAATTATTTAAGCTACAAAAGACCGCTTCATGATTTCTATTTTCTGGGTGTATATTCACACCCCTTTCTCTTATTAATATTGCTAATCTATTAATAAATAGTCATAATAACCACAAAGTATCACGGTATAAATATTAACGAACACAAAATAGGGAACTTTAATCTGCCATGTCTGCAGCTGTAAACATGAACATGTTTAAAACCTACATTTCAGAAGGTGACAGGTCAAACCTTGTCACGGTAAAAGCCTAAAGCTGCCACATTAGCCTAGAAGGGTGATGTGTCCAAGTGCATCATATGATTTAATTAATTCATCACTTGCAGGAGTTTATTTCTTCTGAATAAAACCAGTAACATTTTAAAAGTGTCACAGTAACCTCAGAGTTTTAAACAGCATTATTAAGTGACATTTCATGCTGTTGCATCGTGTGATTTTTTTATTTTAAACTTGAACACCTGGATTAACTTTTCTTTTGTAGCAAGAGTAACCATAGACTGGAAATAATTACACCTTTAACTTGCCATACTCAAGGTCAGATGCAGTACTACAAAAAATGAAACTAATCTGGCCAAAATTGGCACAATCAGTCCTTAAATGAGCAAAGCAATGCAGTCCTGACTGTATAGGACGTAAAAATTAACCTGCGGATTGACTGCTGACGACTTGAGCATTTCGCTGCTGTTGCATGCGTTTTCAGTGTGTCAGGATGTCGCGTCTGAAAGTGACACAAAGCTGTCCGCTGCCAGACGGACTGCTAAACTGTGCCTGCTGCCTTAAGACAGAAATGGTCCGGGAACTGAAACGTATCCCCGCTGGCATCATTAGAGAAATATTTTGTGGGGTGCACTGTACGCTCGTACCCCTGAACATATCAGTTTTGTTTCTCTTGGCTCACTCATGTGGACTCTGTTCTGCCTCTGCTAAGCCAAACAGACTTAGGAATGGGGATGTGTGCCAAAGCATGCAATGCGAAATGTTTTAAAAAGAACTTCATACAGGGTTGAAAAGAGAAGTTATGGAAAGAAAGGCCTTCGGGTCAGGACTTGAGCAGTTAGTAACGTTCTCTGCCTGAAAAATAGGAGCGTTTCTGCCCACCTGGTCAAACCAGCTTCTCGATAAAGCACTGTTAGGTTTGTGCTCGCATTGTGCCATCGTAGTCAACCAGGGAAGAAAACAATTAAGGTTAACAGCTGTGTCATTTACAAATGAGTGTAGCATGTTGTGTCTGTGAAGCAATACTTGTAGTCTGTGTTTATAATTGGATTACTGACCTTCTGGTTTAGGCACTGGCTGTCTTTTGGGTCTTGCTGTACTCTGTGCAAACTTTGCTCTGTTGCCCATCAGACTCTTAACCAGTCGGGGCCCCATGTGTCAAGGTGGAGACAGAAAAAGCGGGTGATTACGATCTGAGCCACTTTGCTTCTAACATTTCTGTTTTCTCTGATAACTGTTCCTCTAGCTGGCTGTCGTAATCTTGCGTGAGCCTCTCTCTCGGGCAGCATGCCCATCATGCTGACTTGTGGTTGGAGATCTTAAGGAAAAGCCTGACATCACTCCCCCCCCCCAAAAAAAAAAAAAGAAAAAACTCACCGAATGCAACTTGGAAGCATCCTCCCTGCTATCAGTGATGAAGATGAAGTGTGAGAAAACAGCATTTTCTCACACACTTTTCGGGAAGCAGGAGGACTCATACAGGGTTTCTTTGAAAATGCTGTCACAAGACTGGAAAAGATTATTTCAAATTATCACATCTAACAGTCAGCTGCTGCACGGGTGGAGAGCTACTGGCACATGTTTTAACCGCTGTGTGCTACATGAACAACAGATCCACACATAAATATATATAGGACATCGTTTTACCAGGATTCTCACAACAGTGGGTTCAAACAAGATCAATCTGAGGAGCCGCAAACTGGTAATCAGTGAAGGGTGCTCAAAATAACTTCCTGCATTGTTATTTAAAACTTAAAAACAATCACTCACCTGTGGAACCAGGGATAAGGTATCACACGTAAATGTGGATATCCCTGTCTTGTAAGTCTGACTACAGATGTTTCCTCAGTCCTGAGCATTTAGAGCACCGTTCACCTTTTTTATAACCCCTATGTATTTATTTCAGGATGGCTGAACCCCGCTTTAACAACCCTTATTTTTGGCCTCCCCCTCCTGCCATGCCTGGTCAGGTGAGTGACTGTGGTATTCACCCTTGTTTCTAAACATCATAACACTACACTCTACATGACTGTCTAGAATATTTTTTGTTATAAAAATATATATTTTTAAATGATCTAGACAAATAGAGCATTCAATATTTCATTTCTTCATAATTTGCTTCCAAAGAGCCAGGTGTTGTTGTAGTGTTTTAAATAGGTCTTGGGCAGTAGTTGTCCAGACTCTTAAAGTTGTTCTTTGGACCATGGCTGCGTTTTCACTTTTCAGTCCAGTCCTTGTACCTGACCATTGTCAGAGGAACAGATTTATGAATCAGTCAAGGTTAAACAAAGCACCAAACTCGAGCGATCAACCAGTGTGGTGTCTAAATATAACGATCTATGAAAAATTAAAACAGTTTGAAGGCATAAAACAGTATTTTTACACCAACAAGGTAATTCCAAAAGAGGTATTAACTGAAAACCTGGTATATCTTGGGTTTGTGTACAATGGAAGGGTGGCTGATGAGAAGTCATTCTTAAGGAGGGAACCAGGGAGAAAAAAAAAACTGAGGTGTATATA